AAACAATTCTAAGAGGGAAAGTTATAGCTCATCTGAGGATGGAGGAAACGAGAGGGGAAGAGAAGGAAAGTAAAAAAGATCAAAATACAGTATGTATATGTACCATTTCTTCCATGGTGAATGTATTTACTATGTATTGCAGACATATACTAATAAAATTGAGGAGCAAAAATTTTAAAAGATAACCCTGGCTGCTGTGTTGAGAATAGGCTCGGTGTTGTAAAGGAGGGGCTCCAGGAAGGAGATGGGTAAAGACAAATGCAGAAGGAGACATTAAAAGGTTTTTCAGTATTCCATTTATTTACTTTAGTGGGACAGCAGGAGGTTCTATTTGGGGATGGCACAGAGAGATGAAGAGTTTGATTTTGGGCATGTTCTTTCTGGGATATCTGTTAACAAAATGAAGGTTTTTTTGGTTTGTTTTTTTTTTGGTACCAGGGATTGAACCACTGAGCTAAATCCCCACCCCACAAAATGAAGATTTTAAGTGGGCAGTTGGACATATGATCATTGATTTCCCATAGACAAGCCAGATCTGGGATGATATTAAAGCTCTTGGAAAGCCACTGTTCACCCTCTCTAGATTGTATCTTCCTATTCTGAACCTGTTGGAATAGTGGATTTTAAAATAAAAGCTATGCATAGTGGTACACACCTGTAATACCAACTACTTGGGAGGCTGAATCAGAATCTCAAGTTCGAGACCAGCCTAGTCAATATTGTGAGAACCCCCCATCTCAAAAAAGAAAACCAGGAACTCCTGCATCCCCCCTCCCCATTTTTCTCAATCAATATAAGTTAATATATATAATCAGTTTTATTTAAGAGTAGTCAACATCAGGATTGGATATTTGAACTAGTTCCATACTGTGTTTTCCCTTGGTTCTTATTTTGCCTAAACACCCAAAGAATGATTGTCATATTCTTGGTGAATCTAGCATTCTTTGGATTGTAATCCACTAAGTGTGTTATTCTTCCTTAGTGTGTAGCTATAGTATTATTTTAGCTCAGTGATTCAAAATCAAAAGTACTTCCACATCATCCCATTTCCCACATCCCTGCCTCATTGAGAATCCATGTGCCTAATGAAAAATGTTCCTGATGGAATAATGTTGTACATATGAATGATGCAGAGGTAGAAAAAAATTGAGAGGCCATTATTTCATTCCATTTATTTACCATCTCCTTAATTTTATTCAACAAATATATTTTGAACCAGACAGACAGTATGCTAGTGAACACAAGACAGCCCCTGCACTCACAGAGTTTAGTGTATCACAGGTGAGCCTGGTATAAAAACAGTTACTCTCTGCTGTCAGAGAAGTGTATAACCTGGGTGCTACGAAGAAGGGTTAGAGCTTTCCGAAAAATTTCAGGACTGAACCGAATCTTACAGTTAAATACATATTCTCCACAACCCAAAGCTTAAGAAGAATGTATTAAGCAGAAAGAACACCAGGTTTTTTTAAAAAGGCACAGAGCTGTGAGTTTCAGTATTAGAGGAATAAGTAATTTTGATGTGGTTGAAGTGAAGGAATAGTCTGGAGGGGTGGGTAGGAGTCGATCCAAGACAGCCATATATTTTTGAAGTACAGGATAATAGTAGTACTACATTTGAGCATGTAGAAGATTTCAGGTAAGTTTTTTTTTTTTTTGGTACCGGGGATTCAAACTCGGGTCCTTGCACTTGCACGGCAGGTGGCGAAACCACTGAGCTAAATCCCCAGCCCGATTTCAGGTAAGTTTAATGTGGTTATCCTTAATTTTGAAAAATTCTCACTATAAAGGAAAAGATCTGGTAATCCTAGTGTGCTCGGAGGCATAGGCAAGCATCAGAAGCCAAACCAAGCCTGGGCAACTCAATGACTTAGCAAGCCCCTGTCTCAAAACTGCAGTTCACCGCGCAAGTGCAAGGTCCCAAGTTCAATCCCCAGTACCAAAAAAAAAGGCATATAAAAATGCAGTTCAGTGCAAAAGCCCTAGGTTCAATCCCAGTACAGCCCCCTCCCCAAGAAAAAAGTAAAGCAGGAGATGGTAAAAGCAGAGGGAGTTTTCCTTTGTTGAACAAATAGTAGCTGTAGTATTTATTGGGATCAGGCACTATTCTACATACTTTGTAAATATTATTTCATTATCCTTGTAACAACCTCATGAATACTGTTATGATCTCCGTTTTACAGACAGGAAACTGATCTGAGTACTACTTGCCCAAAGTCACACAGCTAGCAAGCGTCAGGTCAGAATTTGAAATCAGGTGTTCTGGCTCTTCAGACTGCTTTGAACACCTGTGTCTATCTCTAGGCAGGGTGTCCCCTTCTAATTAATGCAGTCTAGAGCAGAAGTCTTGGAGTAGTCTTTAGGCTGTCTTGAAGCCACTGAAATTATATGCCAAAATGTTACATTTTATTCATTTCTCAGCGGGAGGGTTCCTGGCTTTCATCTGTTGGTCACAGGGTCTGGAAAGCAGATGACTTAGCATCTCTGACCTACAAGAGCATTTCATGGCTTTTCTCTTGTTAAAGGGCACTGATCAGGATAGTAGTCCCTTCAGAAGAATATGGTGTTTATGGGGTCATTCAGGCCTCCTCGACAGCATTGTTCTAATTGTTTATCTGATCAGTGTTCCTGGGTACTTTCCCAAAATACCCAAGCCAGGTCCCAGATTTAGAAATTGTGATTCTTTCCCATAGATTGGGTCCCTGGCATCTGTTTTGAAAAACCTGTCTAAATGATTCTGATATGTCTTTGGTTAAGAACCACTATCCCCTGGGGGCAAAGATTATATTTTCTGTCCCTCTTCTTAATATCTCAGATTCTTAGGACATAGTAAGCATTAATAAATACTTGAATGGATGGCACATTTTGAAATTACTGCTTTGTATTCAGAGAGTAATAAACCAGGCACAGTCGGGCATGATTTCAGCAACTAGGGAGGCTGAAGCAGAAGGACAAGTTCAAGCCCAGCTTGGACAATTTAGCATGATCCTGTCTCAAAATCAAAAACTAAAAACGGCTAGGGATGTAGGTAGTGGTAGAGCACCCCTGAGTTCAGTCCCCAGTACCACAAGGGAAATGATTAGTCATTAGTAATTTGTCACTCATATTTCACAAGACACCTTAATGTGACCCACGACTAGACCACTCCAACTCCACAGCTTTCACTTTTAAATGTCCTTTACAGAGCCTGGCGCTTCAACATCTTGTTACCCTTATTTGAAATATGAATTCTCTTTCTAATTCCTCTGCTGAGTACCAGATGAATTAGAAAATACCTCTTTCCCAGAAGCCCACAGCTGGTATAAATCTTTGAAAGTAGCTCTCTAGTGCATCTTAAAGAATGTCTGAAGTCCTTCTTTCCTGACATTAGTTACTCTGTTCTGTTTCTGAGAATCCTGCTCTCAGCATTTTGGGAATTGGGCTCTGTGATACAGGTTAAAAACTCATAGTCTTGATAATTGTAAGGTTAAAAGCACAAGCTACTAGGAAAGATTCTTCAGGGAGAGAGGTCAGGAAGACTGTGTCAGGGAGACATAGCCAAACAATTATGGAGGAGGAAGAAAAGGTACTTTTTCAGTCAGAAAAAGTAGTTAAGAATAAATGTGAAAGGTCTGCAAGTACTTCAGAAAGATGATGTTTGGACCTCATAGCCAAAATTTTGATGGAGAGATAGGTATACAGTTGAAGTACAGACATTTCCCATAAAAAAGAGAAGAGGAAGAATAGTGATACTAAACAAGCACTTTTTTTTCTTTTATTTTTTTAGAGCAAAGTAAGATGAAATAGTTGCAGATCACAGAACTTGCCCAGAGAACTGTTTTCCCTGCAGTGCTAAGAGCATAGGTAGGAAAGTCACTGGTGACAGAAGCCAGTGGGTGGTAATGGTTTAGACAAGCTCTTCTCCCTCTTCTTTGTATATGGGTCTTATAATAAGTGCAGTAGAATCTGCCTGTTCCTGAATTGTGCCAATCAGAGCATGCCACTCAGTGTTGCCCCAAATAAAAGTGCCTAGTATAGCATTTTTAAAGCAGCATGATCTGAATTAAGAGGCCATGTAAAATCACAACAAAGTGTGTATTAAGAGAAGAAAACTCATTTCTTGGCTTGCGTAAAGTCTTTTCCTTCTTACAAATATCAAGTTGACAGGTGTTCAGCCCAACAAGCTTTTTCCAGTGATAGGACCTAGGAAACAAGATTTTATGAGAAATAACTTTAAAACCTGTATCTAGGGCCGGGGATTTAGCTCAGTGGTTCCGGCGCCTGCCTTGCAAGCGCAAGGTCCTGAGTTTGATCCCCAGTACCAAAAACAAAAAACAAAAAAACCCTGAATCTAAAAAATGTATAATGAGAGCTGGGGATTTAGCTCAGTGGTTCCACCGCCTGCCTCGCAAGCACAAGATCCCAAATTCAATCCCTGGTAGCAAAAAAAAAAAAAAAAATGTATAATTAGAGGAATTATGGCACTAGTAATTATGGAAAAAATATAACCCAGGTTTAGGATCAGACAGTTGAATTTGAATCCTGATTCTGTGACCCTGAATGTTACTTTGTCACTGTGAGCATTAGTTTCTGCATTTGTGAAATGAAAGGGGAATAATACCTACTTTATTTGGGGTAGTTATTAAGAGGAGTAGAAATAATATCATTAGTAGGTATTTGGTAAGTGGTAGCAACCTAGTATTAATAATCATAGAAACTGTCAACTAAAAAAATATTTTAATCATAGAAACAGTAGGCAAATACATTATTCTGGGTAAAGGCGTTGTGCCTTGAAGACAGCCCTCCTGGAGAGAGGTAGAGTTGCAGGTGGTAACAGTTCTGAAACAGTGGAGTAAGGAAGGATGTGCTTTTCGCTGTATAGGCTGGCGTGTCTGGTTGAGGAGGCCTGCACCAACTAAAAGAAAAAGGAAATCAGGCAATAGATTTCTAGACACACAACTGTTCTTTTCCTCCTACCTGGCCTCCTAGGATGTCCTCATTTTCCCTTGTTGCTTTCTTGGCAGGTGGCTGTTAAAAACAATATTGATGTCTTCTACTTCAGCTGCCTCATCCCACTCAATGTGCTTTTTGTAGAAGATGGCAAAATGGGTAAGTACATCCTCCTGTCCTTCTGATAAATATGCCTGTGCCCTTCCTCTGAATGTCAGGCAGAGCACACGCTAGGAGTACAAGTTATTTTAAGGTTTTAAAAAATGGGGTACAAATATTCTAAATCCCTAATAATTACTCATTTATTTGCCTGAATCGGTGGCTCTTTGTTGTTGTTCTGCCAGTAGTCTCTAAATCACCATCTCCATTATCTGAACAATCCAGTCAGATCTGTGTCCCAAGAGTAAGAGGTATGGGGACAGGTAGATGTGAATTAGAATCTTAGCCCTGCCATTTATTAGCTGTGTGGCCCTGGACAAGATGCTGTGTTCTATTTCATTTTCCAAGTTTGCAAAACAGAAATAGTTTTTATGAAAGTGTGTAAATTTAGCACTTAACCCTGTACTAAGTTCACACTGACTCAAGAATTCAGTAATTTGAGAAAAAAAAATATGAAAAAATATTCAACATAAAAAAAAAGAATTCAGTAATTTATAATAAAGCATTAGTATTTCCATGTGGCCTTTGGCATTTTTCTTTATTTTTTTTGGTACTGGGGATGGAACTTGGGTCCTTGCACTTGCACAGCAGGCAGGAAAACCACTGAGCTAAATCCCCAGCCCTTCTTCCTTTATTTATGAAACCACCTCCAGTAAAACTAACGTATATTGGTACCTGTTAAATTGTATTGTCATTTAACTGATCTTCACAGTGGCTTTTTTTTTTTTTTTTGGTACTGGGGATCGAACTTGGGACCTTGTGCTTGCGAGGCAGGCGGCAGAACCACTGAGCTAAATCCCGGCATCAGTGGCTTTTTGGATCAAGACAGATATAACTACTTATGAGGAAATTAAAGCTCAGAAAGGTCACTGGACTTACCCAAGATCACTCAAATAGGAAAACAAGAGATCCAAAATGACAAGTAGACTTTTCTAGTGCATCTTAGTGCTATTGATGTGGAAATAACTGACCTGGAGGATATAATATCTGGGCCCAGCTAAAAATTGGCTCCAATTCTGCTAGCTGTATTGCAAGAGCCAGCATACAGTATACAGCAAGGCATCAGAATACTTTGCTGGGGGTGTAGCTCAGCAGTGCAGCACCTGCTTGGCAAGCATGAGCCCATGAATTCAATTCCCGGTACCAAAAAAAAACCCAATCATGGGCCGGGGATTTAGCTCAGTGGTTCCGGCGCCTGCCTTGCAAGCACAAGGTCCCAAGTTCGATCCCCAGTACCAAAAAAAAAAAAAAAAAACCCAATCAGAATACTAACAATTGTGCATATCTACCCTTCCCCTGTCCTTCCCCACACAGAGCGCCAAGTCTTCCTGGCAACATGGAAGGATATTCCCAATGAAAATGAACTCCAGTTTCAGATTAAGGAATGCCATTTAAATGCTGGTGAGTAATAACTAAATTTCATCTTCATCTTAGTAAATCAATTAGATACTTGAAGATTTTATTTTTCATTTACCTACCTCTTCCCACATCTGACCTGTTTCTAATGAGTATATGCAAACCTCTCTTTAAAAGCTTGGGATGTTTGGGCCGGGGATTTAGCTCAGTGTTTCCAGTGCCTGCCTTACAAGCACAAGGTCCTGAGTTCGATCCCTGGTACCAAAAAAAAAATCTCCAGAACATTTTTTATAGTTTATTTTATTACTGTAGTAAAACATAAAAAGGAGTAACCCAAGAGAATAAACAATAGCAGCTGTCGATCCTAGGGCTTTGTTCCACTGGAATATTCACTGTTCAGAGTTCTACCTTTTGTAGCACACAGGCACATTCTGGGATTTGTACAGACTTTATGGCTTTGAATGAAAGTGTGCCATGGTGCTTGGTCAGCACCTCCTCTTTCCTCATTGACCCAACATTTTCTTCCTGCATTGATGATTTTCATAAGGGTCTTTCAGCACACTGCCATCTTCCCATTGCATTTGGAGCTGAGCACTGGGAAAAGGAGGCAACATAGCAAGACAAAAAGATAAAGAAAAATTATATGTACTGCCTTCTGTCTTTTGGGGGTTTGGGGGTTTTGGGTTTTGTTTTTTGAGGCAGGGTCTCACTGTGTACTTCAGGTGAGCACTGAACTCCTGCCTCAGTCTCCTGAGTGCTGCTGGGATTACAGGCATGCACCATTATGGCCGGCTTCTTTCCAGTTTTGAAGGCTCTATTAACAGGAGCATTTGCGGATTTAGTGCCTTCTGATTCAACACCCTGGGCCTAGCTGAGAGCTAAAAATAACATCCTTTCCTGCTGATCTGCCCTAATCACAATAGCAGCAACACTTAAAATAGCTTTTCTGTGCTAGCCTAGACAGTTGACAGATGGAATGAACACTCTGAGGGCTACAGGAAGACACAGACTTAAAGAACTTACCAGCCTAGCATTGAGCTTTAACTTTTGCTTTCATCTCTCTCTAGAGAAGAAACCCTTTTCCCAAGTCTTAATAATTAAACAGATCTTAATAGGAAGATGTTTATAATAGCAGTGTTAATGATACCACTAGTTGTAAATACTAAAAAATTTTGTATCAGAAAGATACCATTAGACTGGACCCCCTGTTTCCCAGCACTGATCACTTCTACAGGTGTTCAGAGATCTGCCTGAATTTGTTTCACATCTTACTATTACAGTGGCAGTTGAGGTTCGTACATATCTGGGAATGCTACCTTACATGTGCAAGAAGTTGTTGCATCTTCAGCCATATTAGAAAAAGAATCTTGTGGCAAGCAGTTCTACAAGCCTATTTTTTCAACTCAGTGTTTATTATATTATGTAAAGCTCAGAGACATGATATGTCTGTTTGCACTAGTTAGACATGGTAAAAGAAGATACTTCATGCATGGGCACTAGGTGAGGGCAAGCTCACTTTCTGTGTGTATTGTGGCTTTTCCTGTCATCCATTAGAACATTTCAAAACTAGAAACTTTCCCAGCCAGTACTTAACTCACTCATTTGCTCAAATGGTAAGGACAAAAAAAATAATTCTTTTAGTTCTAAACTTACTTGTTTTGAACTTATTAATGAATACCTGACCAGGGTCCCAAATGGAAGTTCCCTATCCCTACTCTCTACTCTGAGTATCTTCTTTACCCTTATTGCAGCCAAAAGAAAAGTGACCCTAGCTAAATAAGAAAGATAAAAGAAGAAAAACAATTTACATTGCATTCTCATTCTCACAGTCTCCCAACTGCAAGATTCCATCTTCTTTTCCAGGCATTTATGTAAAACAGAAAACTGATACAAGAAGTCTATTCTAGCCAGGGACATGGTAGCACATGCCTATAATCCTAGCTACTTGGGGCTCAGGCAGGAGGAAGGGGCTGGACTTCTGGCTAAATGGTAGTAATTTGCCTAGCATGCTTGAGACCCTGGGTTCAGTCTCTAGTATTGAAAAATCAAATAAACAGGTCTAATCCAGACTGGCAAGGAAGCTTCTTATGTCTAGTTTCCATTGCCACTCTTAATCAGTATATTTAGCAGAGACTGATTATCTAAAATCTATAAACCCTCAAACTCAAACTTAGTATCTAAAATGTGTAGGGCTGGTGATGGTGAGGGGAAAACACATACATATTATAGAGCCCTCCTTCCATTCTGTCCTCTGATGAAATCACAGTGCCACCCCTTCATTCAGTATGAGCAGAGCCAAATTCCTGTTCTATCACCTCTTCCATGTAAATGGTGAACTTGGAAGAAGTCTGTAGGCATCTGGGCCTTGCTGTATTTATGGAATGTATTTGCACCTGTGCAGCAGGGTGATTCTTCAACCATGTTCCTGTGTTTTCTATTGTTGAGGGAAATGGGCAAAGGCCTTGAAAGTCAGGAATAGCTTTTACAACATAACACAAGCCCCTGTGTTTTAAAGACATTCCTATCAGAAGACATTAGCCAAACTCCAGCTTGTGATGTTGCTTAGCAACCCATTCTAAGCTGCAAGAACCCTTCACTGTGACAGCAAACACTGTGTGACCCCCCACAAGGTGGTCGCAGAACTTATGGAGGCCCCCTTCTCCAGCAGTATTGCATGTAACTACTCTGAGATCCACTTGTTGGCTCCTCAAACAGAAATGTTCCTTAAATTGTAACTACTGTGCTTGGTGTTGGTGAAAATCTTGGAAATAAAGAGGAAAAGTCAAGTAAAAACTAAATGTAGTGAAAATATATAATGAAAGTGGCCTTACTGCATCTTCCCCAGAGTGTCACTGGTTCGATTGTGGGAAAGGGACATCAGAATGAGAAGTACCTCCAGAAAAAGCCTCCTATCTGACAGTAGATGGTTATGTCTATAGCATTATGCAAACATTGGCATTTTTAACACCTAAGTCAGAGGCATATTCACAGATATTGATGACATTTATTACCTGTTATGTTCCAAATACTGCAGGAAGGATAATGATGAAAAACACAAGATCCTTGTGCTGCAAGCCTACATTTAAGAGGGTAGAAGGTCATCCATCGTGGTACCTTTTCCTAGAGAGCACACTAGATAGAGTATGACAGATTTTTATGTGGGAGAATTTAGTTCCTGAAGCAGCCATGAGTAATGTGAATTCTCATCAGAAGTGAACATAATAAACAGTTAACAAAGAAGCAGTGTTTATCATCTCAATTCTTAAAGTTTCTCTTTCTCTATGCTGCAGCATCTACTCAAGGAGAAATGACCTTTAATTCTGGAACATTATGTCTCCTTGATGCTGTATGCAATCACAAGAAGGAGCCCAAACACCAACCTGTTCTTACCCTGAGTTGGTAACTATGAAGACTTCCATCATGACTAGCAGCAGCATCTGGGACTTCAGGGTCTAGCACCAGTCACCTTTGCACAGCTTCAGTCTTTCTCAGAGTCTCTTGTTGAGACAGTTTGTTTCAGTATTTATTTGGAGGGATGATGTGCCCTAAAGTCTTTTTTTATTAAGTATATGTTTGCAACACATAATACATTCATTGTGGGGAATTAGTACATATATATATTGCATTTTGGTGTCAGGGTTTGAACTCCGGATATCTCACTTGCCAGGCAGGCACTGTGCCGCTGACCTAAATCCCCAGCACATATTGCATTTTGATCCTTCTAATTCCCCTTCCTACTCTCCGGTCTACCTTCTACCCTAAAGTCTTAAGAAGTCATTTGCCTACTTAAAAAAAAAAAAGAAGAAAAAGAAAAAAAAATCCAGGTACTGGAGGCCCTAGATCTATAGCTACACACACACACACAGAAAGGGGAGGGAAGGAAAAGGAAAATATCCAAATTATTAAATTTGACTTGAAGGACTTCTGCAACTTTGTATCCTTTTCTGATCCTGGCAGCTGAGGCTCAAGTGGCACGCAGTGAAATAGTGATGACTTGGGAAGGAGTTGTGGAGTTGACCATCAGTCTGTATATCCCCACTAATCTAGAACCAGCATTCCAGAAATGAATACCAATACAACAGCTACTCGAACCTCCACACATCTATCTCTCTCTTTGTCCCCTTCAGATCACTTTTACTTTTCTAACACATAGATAATAAATCCTTAGGCCAACCCATCTTTTAATCCCTACATTTAACTCTTAGATTTTAAATGCTTAGGTGAACCTTACTCTGTTTTCTGGGTATTTGATAGGTAGGCACTTCACAAGCCTGTTCCTCACCATTTGCTATTTGTGGGAGAAGGGCTTCCTGAAAAGTGCACCTGGGCACATGATGGTACTTGTCCGGGCACATGATGGTACTTGTCCGGGAACTTGAGCACACATGACTCATAAGGATGTCAGGATGTGCATTTGTCTGAGATTTTAGCTGAAGATGTTGTTTTGAATCTGTATTTCTAGACACTGTTTCCAGCAAGTTGCAAAACAATAATGTTTATACTATTGCCAAGAGGAATGTGGAAGGGCAGGACATGCTGTACCAATCCCTGAAACTCACTAATGGCATTTGGATTTTGGCCGAGCTACAGATCCAGCCCGGAAACCCCAATTATACGGTAAGGCCTTTCCCCATTGATAACATACAGTTAATTATAGATCTTATTGAGAGTTCACTATTTTTTACATCATGTCCTTTATTTTAATTGGGTGATAGTACTATGAAATTTTGTCACACATATACAGTGGTACCTCCGTGCATGAGTTTAATTCTTTCCATGATTCTGGTCACAAACCAAATTGGAAGAGAACCAAATCAAATTTCCCCACAAGATCAACATTGAACCTAACCATTGAATTTGATTGGGTTCTCATCCAATTTGGTTTACAACCAGAATCATGGAAAGAATTAAGTCCATGAACCAGTGTACCACTGTAGATTTATGATAACCTCAACCGCACTGTGTGGTGTGCCATCACACAGTTCAGACACAGAATTGTTCCCATCCCACAAAAAACTTCTTGCTGTCCCATCATAGTTAGACTGTCACCCTCTAACCCTTGGCAACCACTGATGTGTTCAACTACTATGTATGTCATTTTGAAAATATTATATAAATTAAATTTGTACATTAGGGGGCTGGGGATGTAGCTCAGTGGTTTCAGCGCCTGCCTCGAAAGCGCAAGGTCCTGAGTTTGATCCCCAGTACCAAAAAAAAAAAAAAGTGTGTACATTAGGTAACCTATTGAGATTGTTTTTTCCACCTGGCATAAGACCTTTGGCATCCACTGAGTTGTTATATGTATCGATAATTGGCTCTCTTGTAAGATCAATAAAAGTTGATCCATTGTGTGCCTGGATCACAATTTCCCCATTTACTCATTGAAGTTTTTTTTTTGGTTTTGGTTTTTAGGGGATTTTTTTGTTGTTGTTCTGGGGGTTTTTTTGGGGGGGGGTTGTTTTTGTTTTTCTTTTTTTTTTTTTTTTGGTACCGGGGATCGAACTTGGGTCCTTGCGCTTGCGCAGCAGGTGGCGAAAACACTGAGCTAAATCCCTGGCCCCTTGTTTTTCATTTTTGAGGCATTGTTTTTGGTAGTACTGGGGATACACACTGAGCTACATCCCCAGCTATATTTTGAGACAGTATATCCCTTGATTGCTAAATTGCTCAGGTTGGGCTCAAACTTGTGATCGATCCTCTAGCCTCCAATTCCCAGAGTGCTGGGATTACAGGGGTTTACCCAGCTCTATATTTTTTTAAGTGTTTTTATTCTGAGATAATTGTAGATTCACATACATTTATAAGAAATAACATAGTGAGTTCTTCCCATAAGCGTTCTGAGGTGATCTCTGAAAATTATCTCTGTATTCATTTGATCTAGAACATAAGTATGCAAATCAAGAAATTCAGATCTTTATGTTTACTTTAAGAACTGCCCATGCCATGAGAAGTATCTGTATCCCAAAAGTCACCAGGTATCTGAAAAATGCCACTTTACAGAAGCGCAGTGTGTGCCATTCTGTATTACAGTGGTGTTGTGAGGTGCACCTAAGCTACACAGGGTTGGTGGCCCTAAAAGTGCTGAATTTTTATTGCACTAGGAATCGAACTCAGGAACTTGTACTTGCCAGCCAGCCGTGGCACCGCTGAGCTACAACCTGATTAGATGTAGATTTTATGGTCATTGAGTACTTACTAGTGAACAGAGCTCCAAGATATGCCACCACACTGACAGAGCTCATGGTGGGACTAACCCATACATGAGCTCCCCATTACACTGAAATGAGCCCTACTGAAAGGGAACAAACTTTTCCTAAACTAGAGAGGAGTGTGCAGAGAAGAAGCAAGAGCCTAAGGCCTAGGAATAAATTCAGCAGAAATAAGTGCAAATGAAACAAAAAAAGAGGAAGGTGGAGGAAGAGAAAGAAAGGAGAGGAGGAGATAATACAGTGAGATTTTGTACCCTTTTTAGCTACACCCACCTTTCATCCTCCCTATATTTTTCATTGGTAAATTTGTTTATGTTTCCTTGCCTTTTCTATTGTTCAACCAACTGGTGACTAGGATCCCTCTGCCCACAATGCTGTCTAGATTCTAAATCTTTCATCACAAATCCATTTCCCTGAGTGATGCTCCAGACTTGAAAATCACTCAGATCCATTCTTTCCCCTCCATCACACTAAACACCCATTACACCACTGAGCTGATCTCAGCTCATTGTTAAAGAGGAACAAAATCTTGTTGATCCCATACTAGTGCATCAAGACTGATAGTCTCTTAGTCTCCTAAAACAAGTTGGTACAGCACTTCCCTCCAACCTCACTCGTTTTTGTATTTCATTAATAAGGTATGATAATTCTGTAAGGGTAAGACCACATCTTAATAATTAGGTAAGTCTCAGCTAGAAAGATAACTTGTTCAGGTGAAGAAGCATGTGTTCCAGCCTATTCACCACTAGTGGATATATGAATCCTGGCCTTAATGAGACAGGGCAAGTGACTCTTCTCCCTGGGTGGATCTAGATGGACAGCATTCCTGAGTAGTTCATAGTAACATGCGTGTCACATAAAGGCTAGCAGTTCAAAAGATAAGACCCAGGGAAGGCCTCTTTTCCCTTGGAGCCATACAAAAGGAGACCCAAAGTCCTAGCTATGAGGTGCAATGGACATATACAGTGAATGTTTAAATTTTTAAAAAATTATTATGGAAAAAGACACATTGCTATTAGTCTTCCTCAAAATATTCCCCCAAGGGCCGAGGATTTAGCTCAGTGGTTTCGCCCCCTGCTGCACAAGCACAAGGACCCAAGTTCAATCCCCAGAACAAAAAAAAAAAAAATTTCCCCCTCACTTCAAATGCACTTACCCTTCATGCCCCTTTCTGAAGCTTTTTTTTTTTTTTTTGAAACAGGGTCTTGCTATGTAGCTCGGGCTGCCCTTGAACTCACTATGTAGTCCAATTTGACCTTGAATTAGTGGCAACTCTCCAGCCTCAGCCTTCCAAGTACTAGGATTACAGGCATGTGCCACCACGCCTAGCTGCTATGAAGCATTTCTGAAAGTCCTCTTTCATGAATGTCTTTACAAAGTGAGATAAAAAAACTTGGTGAATCCTGCTGCCAAAACCAATCCAACAGAAAGGCAGGCTTATAAAAACACTGTGATGTGCTCCCATCCATCTACTCAGTGGATCTGGCACCATGCTACTTCTAGCTCTTCCTCAAAATCAAAATGACCATGAAAGGTAAATGTTTTGTATCAATCCAGAACACTGAGGCAATCATGACAGTGCAAGAAAAGACTTAGGAGGACTTACAGAACTGCTTCAGAAAGTGGCAAGGACAATGGGATAAGTATGTTTGAATCGAGGGGAAATATTTTTATTTTGAGGGGGATTAATAGCAACATTAATGCAATAATATTTTTAACTTAAACACCATATTTTTTTAATCACACTGCATATATTTAGCAAATTTGATTCATGTTCAAGTTGGATGGAGGCGAGGGTAGGGGTGGAGGACCCCGGTATTTGGAGTCCACAGAGACAGAAGGATTCTTCCTCATCCCCCAGAGAGCAGCTCATAGTCTAGACCTTGTCAGTCCACCAGCCACAACTCCCCACCAGTGCCAGCTTTGGTATTTTGAGCTTTTGTTAAGGAAGGCAACAGTTCTGTAACAGGATAGTATTTTGGGAAAGAGGAACTACCCCTCTTTAGTCTGGGAGTTAACTCCCTTAAGCTGCTCCTTCTCTTTTTAGTTTCCTTCTCTCCTCCTGTTCTGGACCCACATATTCTCACACTAGAATTTTCCAAAACATTGTCAGGGGAGAGGCTATAGAGGAGGAGGTACAAGAATTGCCTGAACCAGGGAGTTGAAAGTCAGGGAAATGGCGAAAGCTGCAACTTGGAAAGAAAAAAGTAGGAAGCTGTTTTCCTACACAGACAGTATTTATGTTCTTACAATAGTTTTGCTTTATTTTTTCATTTATCAGAATTATTTTCCTGACAGATACTAAGCAGCAATTTTGAAAATGCCTGGAAAGTATGCAATAACATGTTCTCACCAGCTTAAACCACCAGTGGTGTTTGCATGACTGTCCCATCAGGTGGCACGGGACAGTCCTGTTGGGTGATAAAAGCCACTTGATACTACAGTCATGCAGTAATCACCAGTGGGAAAAGCTGGGAGCGTGTTAAAGCTTTAAGTAAGCCGGGGGATTTAGCTCAGTGGTGCCGCTGCCTGCCTCGAAAGCACAAGGTCCTGAGTTCGATCCCTGGTACCAAAAAAAAAAAGCTTTAAGTAAGCATCTTTTCATGTTCTTTTCTTCAGTTGGTTTATTTTTTTATTTAGGATGTTAGTTATTCACATTTAACTGCTATCTTTTTTCCAAAGATATTTTCACCTTTGATACTATGTTAAATCATCTAGAGTCTCTAGTAAGAGAATAAAGAGATAAAATAATCTAGAATTTCATGGTGATATACTGTTAAAAAACAACTTTTGTCCCTCTGCCCTAATAGGCAAGAGGAGTGATGTAAGTAATACCAAAAACAAATAAACCTAGCTGTGTGTGGTGAAGCAGGCCTGTAATCCCAGCACTCAAGAGGCTGAGGCAGGATTGCTTCAAGGCCAGCCTGAACTGCGTAGTGCGATCCTGTCTCAAAAAAATAAATAAACCTAGGCTGGGGATTTAGCTCAGTGGTTCCTCATAAGCGCAAGGTCCCGAGTTCAATCCCTGGTACCATAAATAAATAAATGAAGTTTTCTGTCTCTGGGATGCATTTTCCTTGCTTACAGTGTATTAGTAGTAGCAGTAGATTATGTTATTATAATTATTATATTATTATAATTTGCCTAATTTAAGAAAACTAAGGAGTCCAAATCTGGGTTTAAATTTTATCCTTACTGACCCATAAAGTGAAAACTCAATATTCAACATAGACTATTGGTGGTAGTGGTTGATACAGTGAGGATTAAACCCAGGACCTTGTGAAGGCTGGACAAACCACTGAGCTATACCCTCAACCCTGATATCCTTAATATTGATAATTATTAGACTAAAAGAAGTAGTGCTGGTGAGGTAGAGTGGCTAGAAGTATCTGGTTCTAAAGAAGCAAAAAGTGAAATACTAAGTAATTGGCATGCATTGTTGTCCACTCAGATAAGTAACTTGTTGGTGCTTGTCTCTCTCAAGAGTATGCACTGTGAGGCAATGCAGAAAGGACTAGTACCTTGGATCTTTCTAACTCACACTTTTATTTGACTGGATTGTATAAAAAGGGGACTGAGAGAACTGTGCTTCTTGTCAGACTGAGGAACTGCGGCAGATCCCAGAAATGACCATCACCAAGTTAAAGAGATTTTGCCTGTGTGTATTCATTTGGCCATAATCCCTATGACTCTTAGCAACGCCTAAGAGCAGCTATTCCCCCTGCAGTCAGTCTTTTGGTTTTTAGTGTGGATTATTTGCCAACCTCACAGGCCCACAAAGGATGGAGGTAGCAACACATCCCAACTTGACATTGATGAAACTGAAATTCTAGACTTCACAGCATTTATTAACATGATCTCTTTGTTTGGCTATTCCAGCAATAAAAGGTCGTCTCTTATATCAGAAGTTTTCTTGAACTGAATGCTTGGGTACTTTTAGAGTTATGCCAACATCCATACTAACCTTCCTTCTCCTTTTCCTCTTGACAGCTGTCGCTGAAATGTAGAGCTCCTGAAGTCTCTCAATACATTTATCAGGTCTACGACAGCATTTTGAAAAACTAATAAACTGGTCCAGTACCCTCCAGCCACCCTGCGATTGGTGCAAGCCAAGAATTCTTAACTGGAAGAAATTGTACTGCTGTGTAGAATCTGAACCCAAACACACTGAGGCCACCCAGCACAGTAGTGACTAGTCTAATCTGTGCTAACTGTAGAGACAACCTGTTGGATAGTTTTAGCTTCCTGTGAACATTTGTAACCACTGCTTCAGTCACTTCCCACCTCCTGCCACTTGCTACTGTCTGTCCTTATTTGTGGGCTTCTCTGTGCTGTGCCAACAGCTGGCTTTTTCTACACCCTCATTTGAGTGTAGTTTGGTATTTTGCCATCAAGAGCTCATTTCAAAAGCAGAAAAAGACAACAAATATTAAAGCAAGGAATAGTGTCACTGAAACATGAACTGCACTTTATTGTTTTATATTTTTGTACATATGAGAAATGGAGGTAGTATAACTGGTAGAAAGTGTTAAAACAACTGACCATCAGTTACCGTGGTCCTAGAGGAAGAGATACAGTTACCATCCCACTCTATTAGGGATTCTCTCATCTGTGGCAACCTTGTCCCTAGTCATTTAGATTTTTGGTTTTTTCTCTCCATACTCCTTTCTTGCCAGGCCTTCACATTTGCCCCATCCCCATATTCTCATCTCATTTGCTTGCTCTGCACTTGGGAATGATCTCCACTGAGTGTTTTTTTCAAAGTGCAGGAAATACTAGGCCTGTCAGCACCAAAGCGAAGAGAAGTTAACTTATTCCTTTCCACCAAACCAACCCATTAATAATGCTGATTAGGACATGTGAGGAGAGATGGAGAAATGGAACTACAGTGCCCTCCCCAGCCTGCTTCCCTTTATTTCTCAGATCCAATTCTAAAAATCAAGAGTTTTGAAACAGACTTTAATGGCTTATCCAACCCTGTTTTTCTACAAAGGAGAAAAATAAAAGGCAAAAAGAGAGCATTATTGGTGAGGCCTGTCAGCTGTTCAGTAGCAAAGCTACAGCTGGGACTCCTAAATTTCCACTGGTGGTGGTTGCGCTACAAGACCCCCTTGTTGCTGTTTCTTTCCTTAATGCCATCTTCTGCCTTTGCCTTGCCTGCTCTGTGGCTCTTTGCATCGTCTATCTTGATTTTGGCATAAGGGAGCAGCAGAGTATCTTCAGTTACTTCAAGGTCGAGCCAGATGACAGAACGAAGACATAACATTTCCCACGTGCTCCTGGAGCCAGTGTTCTTGAGGCCAGCAGGGTGGGTGCAAAGAAGAAATGGGCTTAGAGGTGTTGCACTTTCTCTTTATCTCTTCAGCCCACTAATCTGCTCTTTGCTCATGTTATTCAGGCCCCAAAGCAGATTAAGATCATCCCAGAAGCTCAAGCAGTTCTCATGATCTCTCAAAAAACTAGGAGGTGAATTCTACTCCCTAACACATTGGGTTGAGAATGCTTCATGCCGAAACCGCCACCCAGCTTAACAGTATTCACACTATGTGGTCTGTGAGCCCTTGTTGCATAGCCTGACACCTGATACTGAGGTTTCATAACCAACACAGCACTTCTCAGATTCCTCTTGTCAAGTTAGAGGCACTCCAGGGACCAGAGGCCTCGTGATAGACTCAGACCTAACCCACTTGGCTGAGAGGAGGAACTGTAGAAAATGAGAGTAGAAGCCAAGCCCCAGTCCATCAAGTCTGAAATGATCCTTCTTTGTACCAGTTGCAACACTTAGAGGGGAGGGGGGTGGCTTCTCTAAAGCAGTTTCTCAAATCTTGAAAATCCTTGAGGGAATTACTGGGTAAAAGAAAGGAAGTGTATTCCTCACCGCCCCTCAGGCACGTGGAGAATAGGAAATAGCACCGGATTGTGTGTGGGTGGTGGGTAGGTTGGTGATGTAGGGGGTGGGGGGAAGCAAGTTGATGAAGTTCCCTTGCTGGGACTCATTGAAGGAGTCAGTTGGATACAAGTAGTGAAGAAGATTCACACTACAAACACTGTTTTCATCTCAAAGGAAACCATAGCTCCAGAAGGAAGAGTATGTGTCAGGGCAAGCAGACAGTTTTGTGCCAGGATATGCCCCTCAACCCCTGAAACAGGCTTCTCAGCCTCACCACTAGTAATGGATAACAGCTGCTGTTCTCTGCTGAGCCAGTCCAGGGTGTTTTCACACCTTTGGGGAGGCCGCCTCCAGCTGCAACCTGAGCAGAGTCAGGGAGGCACTCTGCTTCACATTAAAGGACCTCTTTCCTGAAGAGGCAACCTGTTGCCTCCAGCACAGCTTCCTTTGAGCCCCCTTTCAAGCTTGGCCAGATGGAGGGAAGGGATTGCCCTCCATCCCCCTCTCTCCTGCTCAAGCACTTCTGTGTAATGTGAGCCAGCATCATAGGGCAAGGGAAGCAAACACACACCCAGAACTCTTGCTGGCCAGAGATTCCCTGAGTGTCTGTCCTCACCCAGGCATTTTCTGTGAGTGTATTGTGAAGCATGGGATTCTGGGGAGAGACGGGAAGTGTAAGTGTTACCCTTGGAGTCCTATCATTCCTGTTCTTATTCAGATATGTTCTTGGGGAGGGTGGGTGTTGTGGGAAGCTTGACCTTGTGTCTTCGTCAATAAACTCATTTACAAAAAATGAAGTCTGTGATATGTACTTTGTTCCCAGAACTGACACTGTAAAACAAAACAGCTGGCCAGAGGAGGGACAGGATATTAATAGCCATTCTTTTAAGAATTTGTGAGTGCCACAGACCTCCCAGGGACTCAGCCAGACAAAATTACAATTGACTTCCAGAAGGAAGAGTGGCTCCTGTTGACCAAGCCCCAAATCTCCACCACCACAGGCGTCTGCAGCCAGGGAGTCCTCAGAGGAGCCAATCTATCTGCCCTGGCAGGTGTTCCCAGGAGCACTAGGCAGAGCAGAAGCGGTGGGTGGGTTCTTCCTGGGTAGGCACCCTGACAGCAGAGGCCAAGGACAGGAGGAGCACAGCCAAGCTTCTCCATTCCCACTACCCATGCTATCTCACTCAGCTCTCACCCAGCTCCCACCTTAAAAAAGCCTCTCAGGCTTGGGCACAGGGCCTGCATATTCCCAAGCAAATAGAATTATCACTACTCTAAAGCAACCCTCCCAAGGAGTTCAGTGCTAGTGACCTTTGTTTGTGTTACTGGGACCACAAGACCCAGGTGTTATCAAGATGAGCTGTTCAGGGGCGGGGATTTAGCTCAGTGGTTTCGCTGCCTGCTGCGCAAGCACAAGGACCCGAGTTCTATCCCTGGCACCAAAAAAAAAAAAAAAAAAGATCTGTTCACCTCTGAGTTCTGATGAGCTGATAGCCACTGAAATCCCCCATAGCCTGCAGTTTTAGGGGAGGGCTGGAGTGAGGGATCCAATACCAAGCTGCCTTGCCCAAGTGGCCCCTGGAAGGTACTCCCACATGGTAGCTGCTTTTTTCTACTTGGTTGTCCAGACACCATGAGCAAACTACCTTGGGCAGGTAGGAATTTTTGGCTGTCTCTGTGTTTCTGGGCTGCAGTTAGCCCAAGCTACAATGGGAGTAGCAGTTGAGGAATGGGGTCAGGGTAGTCTAAATTGAGGTTTGGAGTGAAAGATATGAAGAAACACCCTATTGAGATCACCAGTTTGCATCATTGGTATAGAGTAATGTGCTTTGGACAAAGAAAGTCCCCAGGGAGGAACTTAACTCTTGGATGCACATCACCTGGAAAGCTTTCCCAAAAGACTATGGGAGCCAGGAGTGGTGACACAAGCCTCTGATCCCAGCACTCAGGCCAGAGCAGAAGGATTGAAAATTTAAGTCCAGCCTGGGCAACTTAACAACTTAATGAGATCTTGTCTCAAATTAAAAAGGGTGGGATGTAGCTCAGTGCAGAGGCCCTGGTTCAATCCCCAGTACCCAAAAGAAAAAGTTCTGTCAAATCTGTCTAGTTTGGAAACTGGAGAAATCTGCATTAAAATCCACAAAAACAAACTTTCCAGGGTTTATGTTTGTACAGCCAGGATAAAAAATCAGTGCCAGGGAAAGGCTCACACCTGCTCACCTATTTCCTGTTCTACTGCAGTACTCATTCTTGTAGCAGAGGGAAAATGGTAAAACACTTGATGCACATTATACCTGCTTATTCTCTTGTGTTATTCGGATTAGATGTGGCAATGCCCAGTCTTCTGATTACCTGTCTGTGTCCTTACCACTCCACTACAGCTTCCTTCTCCACACCACTGGAGGTTCTGTACTAGGCTTTCCCCTCTCTCCACTCTTACCATATCCAACCTTGCTAAGCCCCCAAGATACTGAAGTGCTCAGATCACACTGACCCCTGACTTCTACCTGAGATTGCACTGTCCTCGCCCCTAGAATGGCAACTGAGAAACAGATATGTTGTTTCAGAGGTAAGAGAAGAGCTGAGGTCTCTATCATGTTTGGTCCTTCCCACTCCCACTTCACGCATTAATGCATTTTCTGATTTTGCTTGGACCCAGATTTCTTTTCCCTGCCACCCCCGGCTCCAGGAGGCAAGCGCCTGTTTATTTTAATACCTGGTATGGCACTTGGGAAAGATCAACACCTCCCCCGTTGTTACCCATTTCTATCTCTTGAACACTAATCCTAGAAGCCCAACCAGCCCCCAAACATGGTAATAGCAACAAGGATGTTTCTTGAAAAGTTTCCAAGTTGGCTCCAAATTTGCCATCTCAGTTTCTCATTTAGCTTTTGCTCCGAAATTGGCTAAGGTGCAGCTTGGGTGCCAAGGGAGCAGACACATGGCCCATCTGTAGCATCTGAGGCCCAGACATGAAGTGGGACAGAACAAAGACCCGAGCCAGTCTCTTCCCTACTCTGATCTTCATAGTGGAGGACCCCACTGAGATCTCAGAGGCTGACTGCCTAGATTGGAGTTGGCTCCAAATCTGCCATCTCAGTTTCTCATTTAGCTCTTGCCCTGCCATTCTTGATGCTGCCAACAAGGGAAAAGCTAATTTGAGGGTTAGTTAGATCCAGATTCTGAGTTGCAGAAGTGGCTTTCAAGGGCTTAATTTCTAGGAGCACTGCTTTGGGACAAGACTGTCATCTCTAGGATCATTCACCCTTTGGGCAGGGGCCTGGTCTTTGTCCTGTCCCACTTCAAGTCTGGGCCTCAGATGCTGCAGATGGGCCCATGTGCCTGCTCCTCTGGCACCCAAGCTGCACCTTAAGCTGATATAGTTTGCATCTAAGATGTCCCACCAAAGCCTCATGTGGTGGTCACAGGTGGGGCTTTTTCAGAGGTGGCTGGATCTAGAATATGTGATGTTGGAATTGATTCATGGTACAATGCTAGGGTCAAGGGCACTAGGATTAAGCGTATGAATACTACCCCTCCCCCCAAATGACTTGGATAAGATATAAGGAATAGAAAGAATTGTGGTTGCCCCTTGTTGCTTTGCTGTCTTCTGCCTGCCATGAACTGTTTCTTCTCTGCAATCCCTGTCTGCCATGCCACCCTGCCTTGGAGCCAGCTGATTATGTATTGAAACGTCTATGAACTATGAGCTAAATAAGCCTTTTCTCCTTTGACTTTGGGTGTCAGGTGTTTGGGTGTTTCTCTCAGCAATGAAAGAAAAGTAAGACATTAGCCATCAGATGTTCTCCTCTGAGCCAGAGCCACCTGAGGCTTGAGGCCAGACAGACTTAAGGACAGGGCTTCTCAGACTTTAAACTTTTTCATTAAGTAATCCTAATGACAGAGGAGCGTAAACAGACCCCTAGAAGTGTACATACTTGGCCCAAAGTGACTCTCAGCAAACCAAAATAAATTAACTATCTTAAATTCAGGCAGGTTTGCCATGTTATGCAGATACTATCACTTTGTTATTTATTCATTATTATTTTTGTGTTACTTGGGGTTGAAACCAGGAAGAATTGAGCTACATCCAAGCCCTTTTTATTTTGAAAAAGGATCTCACTAGGGGCCAGG